AAAGTTGAAAGTTTTAATACTAATATTACCTAAATCCAATTCCCACAAAACAACTTTAATGATTATTAACAGTATTTGTTAAAAAATTATTTTTATTGTTAATTTTAATTTCTAATTGTTTTTTATTTTTAACAGAGGCAAATATAATTTAGATTACAATGAAGATATTTATTTTTCTGCTAAAGATTGCAGAACATTAAAATGTTATATGCAGAATTCAATACGTAGTGGTGTATTACTGGTCGTCTACATTGTTATCCAAGTTTAGCTTAATTTTCGAAGTTGTCACAATATTTTGATTATCGACTATTTAAGCAAGTAATAGAGACACACACAATAGTATATAAAGCATCAAGAACGGTAAGGCAATTTTTTGAAGGAGGAGCAAATCGAAGCGGTAAGTCCTTAGGTAACACTCGTGATGCTTATGACATTTTTTGCGCTATCGATGTTTGTTAGTTTTTTTAAATAAAATATCTAAAAAATGTTCTAAAACGCCAAAGTATTTTGGCGTTCTAGAACATTTTTGAATGCTTACCGACTTAGCAACAAAATACTTACCGACGAGTTTGGGATAGCAACGAGTAAATACATCTTACTGTCTTGGACGTAGTAAACTATCGAATAGTCTAATCGCGCAAAAAAAAAACCTAAAAATATACAAGTAAAAAAAATCTATATTAACCTATTTCTGCAAATAATACAAATCTTTGTTTATAAATTATTGTGATTATCTCAAAATGTTTTAGAATAAACAAAATATCCTTAAACTCATAAAAAATTCAGTTATAATATGGTTAAGAAGAATTCGTATCTATTTTTAAAACAAAAACACTCCAGCTTGATTTATTAGTGTCAATAACAATTTATAGCCATTTAATTAAATATAATTAAAAATTCAGCAGTTTCAGTTTCCGTGAACGGTTTTTTGAGCAACAGATGTTACAAAGGATTGCTTTGGACTTTGGATGCTTGGCTGTAAAACAATAAAATGAACTCTAAACGGGTGTGGTAGTTCAAGATCCTACAAGGACTCAACCACAAGACTCGTTCTCACCAGGAAATGAGAAAAATCAAGTGCAAGGTTGAACAACTTGTGTGGAAAAAGATCCTGATTGTTAACCTGCCGTATACGTGAATAAAACCTGTTTTTCGTATTGACGAAAACTGGTATATCATTTTGTATTATTTCAAACATTTTAAGATTAGTAGCTCAGGTATAAATAAATGAACCAATTCCTTTCTTGGGAAGTCATTTAAATGTCCAAAATTTCATTACTCACAATATTTACATTTTCAGTACAATGCCAAACCTGTGCACCTATTATTCTTATGAAATCCCACAAATACTTCATGTTGAAAGTTCTCTTGTTGTTATAACATTTTACGGAACAGACGTGTTATGTAATTGGTGCGTCATTGACATACCTTAACAAAACGTTGCTCGAATATTGATAAGTTGATAACATGTAAAACAATGCTGAAGGCATTTTAATTTTTTAAGACAACTATAGATGTTTCATACAGAAAATGCATTGTACATTAGTACAAAATTCATTGTCATTATATTAATAATGACAATGAATTAATGAAACTCCCCTTACTCAAGCTTTTGTTGAATAAATTAAAATAAATCCTCTCATAATTGGTCGTTTTGGCATTGTCTCCTAAACACATATAATGTATTTTCAATTTTGTGTTACGTATAATTACATAATTTGAATAACTGACATAACCAATATCGTCGCATGTGACATGCTTTGTACTAATTTGTTAATACCATCAAACTACAAAGTGCTTAATATAGCTAGGTAATAAATTTCAAATTTTTAGATTTTATAAGTTTACTTCAAAAATATTTTGTTCGAAATAAGAGATATCGCAGCATAACTAGCAAGATGTCCTTTTTGTAAAACATTCAAAATGATTCCGTAAAAATCAGCAATTAAACTAAATTTTGTACTTTTCTTTATATTTTTTGTGTATTGCGGCATTAAAATCAAACGAGAGAGTAAAGCTTTAATTGCTAACACGCAAAAATGTACTTTTTTAGTACTAGTACTAAAAATACTCTTAAACTTTTGTTTTAAATTTTGATAGAATAATTTTTGGTTATAATTCAATTAATTATGTTAAGATTATGTTAAAATCTCTTCTTGAAAAATTGAAAATGTAAAGTGCTCCCGGACTCATAATTGAGAACGGAAAGTTTAAGTTCCTGGACAGTATGAAATAAAAAAATTTCACATTTTTCATCATCATCAAAATTAATGTAGTTAAATACAGTCACACTTACCGTATCTAATTGATTTCAAAAATACAACTTCAGGTTAGATTTAAAACCGGATTAAGTTGATGTACAAGTTACAAGCAAATAAAAGACTTTGGCTTTAACTAACTTAATATATTTTTTTTACATTTTTTGATATAAGTAACAGAAATCCGGAAAGACATTAGCTGACTTTAAACGTAAGCGACACCTGAGTAAGCATAGGGAGAGACCCAGCCAGCAGGGTAAACACCAGGAACAACAGCGGAGTAAATTTGTGGTTGTGGTTGAGGGCCCGGAGCTGCAATGGCGAGAGCCAAGAGGGCAGCGAAGACAACGAGAAGCTAAGAATTTTCATTAGGTTTATTAGTGATAAAATATCGTTGTGTATTACACTTACCAATTTGAACATCTTGAGAATAGCTTTTGATTACTTTGAATCAAACACTGATCTCAAAACAGTTTACTTCATCTTTTATAGAGGAATATTTTGCACAAAAAAATTAGTAATACCGGGTGTAACCTAATTGTGATGCAGATTGAACTATTGTTATGATTAATTATGTATGCAAGAAAAAAAAACTGCAAAAAGTTGTTTTAATTATAGACTGAAAACTAAGAGACAAATATTGATATTAATATTTAGCGTATAATTAGAATATCAAGAAATATTGACACTGTGTTTAAGTTTTTTTCTTAAACTTAACTAATCATTACAAAATAATTGTTATGTATGTTTTCAGTATTATTTTAATCAAAGATAAATAAAAAATGGCCATACTGTCGCATTTTTAATAAAAAAAATACAAGACTTTTGCTACTTAGTCCTTTATTTCATCCGGGAATTATTCAAATCAGTTTTTTGCATTAGTAATTTAATATCTACATTGTCGCGAATATTTAAATTAGTTAAAATGGATCATGACATATTTAGTCATGTGTATGCAATTTTTTTATATTACTTTGTGACCATACCTCTTTGAACTTCAAAATATTAAAATTAACACAAAGGTTGGGCCTCGCCTTGATCAATGATAATATTCAACTAAATATATAAGCAGCGACAATTATTGTTTAAACATTGTTATTTGATTATTAGACACATAATCAAAAGCTTTCAACATGTTTAAATTTGTAAGTCGCAATTAATATTGCTTTATATTGATTTAATTTATTATTTGTTGTAATCCAGGTTATCGTCTTGCTAGCGGCCGTTTTGGCTATTTCCGTGGCTGCTCCTGCTGCTTCTCCTCTTGTAACCTCTGTCGTTACACCTGGAGTTTATTCGTCTGTTGTTGCCCCGTCTGTTTATTCTACAGGAATAGTTTCTTCTTTGGGATATGCTGCTCCCATAGCTTATTTTTAATGTGTTTGAGTAAAGCGGTCAATAAGTTTAATACCTAAGAATGTTTGCAATCGTAATTCAAAATAAAAATTTCATGAAAACAATGATTTGATTTTTATTTTCACTTGAAGTTGAGTTTATGTTTTATATTTTTTTTATCAATACAATGTGGTCAGATGGCAACTGAATCAAAAGCATTTGCTTTTTTGATTGTTTTTTCCTAAGAAATATTTGATGTAACAAGATATTTAATTTTATAAGTGTTTAGCTGTCAACAAACGAAAGTGTTTTTTGGCAGTATTTTGCTAAAGTCTACCAAAAATTTAGTTTCTTTATGTTTATTTTTTGTGATTTTAATGCTCTAAAGCAATCTTTCTGATTCAGTTTTGATTAAACTTCATCTTTTCAATCATATAGTTGTTTTAATTTTTGCTTCTATAAATTTTAAGAGAAATGCAAAATTATACCACCCTCTTAAATTGCATTCTACGTAACAAAATTAACGCGAACTGATAGAGTTACCAGACGAACAAGATATGTTATTAACTTGTACATACATACATATTTAGCCTTTTTGGAATAAATGTAAATAATTACACATAATATACAGTATGTTCGCGGACTGTGTTTACAAGAGAAAAAAACTCTTTGATTTTTACGCCAAAACTGCAAAGGAATAACATTTTTTGATTAACCTAAAACGAACAAATCTGTTATTACAAGTATTACAATTTTATCAAATGTTTTCCATTTGTATAATTTACTATGTTAGCTGTTTGTAAATATTTAAATATATGCATCAAATTTTTAATCTAAACCATCTCCAGCGTAGATGTACTCTGTAAATATGTTATATAAAAAAGGCGGTTCCGTTTTTATTGTTACAAATTTAAACAGGTGATAGAATCTTAAGACAAAAGTTTCCTATGAACATGTTTCAAAAAATGATATGTAAGCGAGCTACACCCCCTGAAAAAAAAATGCGTTTTTTAATGTGGTTTTTCTTCTATTGCAGAATAAATAAAATTACAAAAGTTAGAATAGCTGATATCCTTAAAACACCTGAACGAATTCAAAGATCAGTTGTCAAAATTTTTAATCACGGGCGTTTTAAACGGAATTTAATTTTTAATTTTTATTCTCTTTAAAGTCTGTAACACATATTGTAAACTGATTTTACTTAAAAACGATAAATTGTATTGAAAAAACGCAAGAGACCTATTTTTTGTGAAAAATTATGAAATTTAAAACTGTGTGACTGAAAAAAGTGGGAAGAACCAACAGCCAAACTATTAACGAAAAGTAAGTTTTTCCACCTTAATTTTAGAAAGGAAAGTGTTCAATTACCTCCCTTATTTGTCAAACTTATAATAAAACTATGTAAGTATATGTAACTTCTTAGGGAGATGAACATTTTACCTCCTCTATAGAAACGGAAAAACATGCTACTAGATTTAATAGCAAAACTGGGATATCAAAAAAAACTGTTAGTTTTAAAGTTTTTTCTTGCTGGATAGTATAGGAAATATTATGTATTACACTGACGGAATAAATAAGTCTCTTCCTCCCCAGGTGGTTGTAATACAAATAAATATTGTGCACTTGCTTATTTTTGTTACATTTTGTTTTTATTTACTCACGTTTAATTATTTTGGAATGTTTTAAATGAATTCAAGGAATGATTAGTTCAAATCAAAAATAGGTAACAGTTAATTTTGCTTTCTATATAAGTCGAGCCGGATACTGGTACCTGCTTCTCGTAACGTATAAAAACATATACCCAACCACACATATTTCACCTTATAGATAATTATTATTAATATTTTTTTGAACTTTCGCATCCAAAGTTAATAACTTAAAAAAAATTCTTGAGAATAAAATTGCAACAAAAAGTAGCATTAAGTAATTGAAAAATTTAAATATAAACTTCGTACAAGACCATTATCATACACCAATTTAAATAAGTTCAAGTAGAGATATTTAAAATTCAGCCCACTTACATCTCCTGACCTCACCATAATGTGGCGAAATTCTTGGATATAAATTGCGTCCAAGAATGCCTAACATCAACAGTTGTTCTAGTAACGTCTAGTAAACATCAAATCAAAACCAAAATGTTCAAACTCGTAAGTAGAAACAAACTCTGAAACCCTAACATGCAAATGATTGTGTTTCTCGAACAGGTTGTCGTCTTCGCTTTGATTGCTGCCGCTTTGGCAGCCCCAGAAGCCGCCCCAAAGGCCAAAGCTGAAGCCAAAGCCAATCCCGGAGTTGTGGCCGCTGCTTACACCGCTCCAGTTGTTGCCGCTCCTGCTGTAGCTTATTCCGCTCCTTACGCCGCTTACGCTGCTCCTTTGGCCTACTCTGCAGGATACGTTGCACCATCGGTCTACGCTGCAGGATACTCGGCTTACTCTGCGCCACTTGTTGTTGTTTAGAATTGGGGCGATTGTAGATAAAAATAAAAAATCACACGTGCTTTAATTGTAGTTTATTTTTCCAACAATTTAACAGTGCAGGTGCATTGAATTTTTAACTTTATTTTTTACTATTAACCTGATGAAGAAGGGCAAAATATGACCAAGATGTTTGAAGAATCTAAAAGAGAAAAAATTAAATACGTACATGCAAATAAGTTTGATCTCAGTTTACCTTCATAAAAGTCTCTAATGTTAGATAAAATATTTTTAAAGATGACATTTTAATAGGTTTCTGGCATCTTAAGGAAAAAAATTGTATTTTCTTTTTTATGTCGATTGGAGCATCTACCCAGTTTGATTCAAATGTGGCGTACATTATTTCGCTACTCTTCATTGATGTTAAAAAAATAATAAATTTTTATTAAATATTTAACTTAAATTGCACACATAAAAAACGTTGAATTGCTATTAAGTGTTCTAATGTTATAGAGTTCTAGTCATTAATCATTATTTATTAAATCAGTTTGAAGAAAAATTAAACACAGGTGTGTGGAAGGTTAATTCAAACAAACCGGTCATTACGTTCAATCAAATTAAAACTTAATCAAAGTAAAAAAATATGTTCTTCCAATGCATTTGTAGTAGATACATATTAGCTATTTTCATTCGCAAAAGTAATGCATACTTCAATAGATCACTAATAACAAGCTAGTTAGACTTGTACCTATTTTCCTATTTAATTTTTTAATTTCTATAGGCTGAAATGTCGGTACAGTTTTTTAATTCGGTATTCATTTAAAACATCTAAAGACAACAAAAGAAGAGAGAAGATTACAAAGTAATGATATGTAATTTAGATAAAATATTTATCATGTACGTTTAGAAACGATCAATTTTACTTTTATAGAGACATGTTCTACGCTAATCGTTTCATAATCTATTTATTTATTCACCTGTTAACAATATGAAGAAAATGAGATATTAAATAATTGAAAAATCAACTGTTTGAACCTAAACTTTTGTTAAATTACATTACATATATTTATTTTAATTCTCTAAACTGAATGGGAAAGTACTATAAAAATGTGACGAATTTTTGAGAATTAAATTTTTCGAAATTTTTGTTTGTTTTTGAGTTTTGCATAATTTTTATTTTTTGTTTAAATAGTAACATAGTATAAAACTTTTTTTACAAAGGCTATGATCTAAAAGTTACAAATATCATCTACATTTTACAAACAAAACAAAATTTTATTCTCAAAACACCATCACAAGTTTTATAGCTTTTTAATTTTTAATAACTATTATTTTCTGAAAGCAAATGGATTTAAAAAAACACTTGGTACTATACTTTTTATTCACCTTGTATAAAATTTTCGCTGTTATTCTTATGTCGTTCGTATTCGCTATAAAAGTATAGGTAATAAAAGTAACGTAAAGTTTTTTAAACTTGCAAGTTTAATAATTTAAATTCATGAATTCGTGTTTCAAGACTGTTCTTATGAAACTTATTTTTTAATATACTAAGTATTATAAAATTAAGTGTTCTTTTGGAAAAAGTTTATTGTTTATTAGTTTTATTGTGTTTTATCATATTGTAGTATACTCGTATTTTAAAGATCACAAGTCCCTACGATTTCAGTATTTATACCTACTTAAAATCTAAAATAAAACTTTTCATGAAATTGAGTAATAATTTTTAAATTGCAAAATACCTCTTTTTGATAGCTACAACTTACCTTAAGTTCCACCTGATTTCCATACCAACAATAGATAAACGTTTCAAGAGCTATGGCCACAACGTAAGAACAAAACGTATAAAATACACTCGTAAATGGGACAACCTTAACAAAAAAAATAAGAATCGAAAAATTTTACCTAAAAAATATAACTTGCAAAATAACTTACCACCGTTAACTGAAACATTGATAACCCAATTGAGACTACACTTGCCGCAAATTGCAATAAGACAATCCAATTAAAATACTGTTGCGAACAGTCAGCAAATCTGAAATGCGTAACTTAGTTATGTGAAATATGACATAACTACAAAAAATACCTTAAAATTTTTCTGTGGTGTATGATACAATTTAACCACATTACATCCAGCTCTTTATCTGGACCATTTATGTGTCTTATTGTATCACACAGAATATCACACTGAGCTCCAATATACATATTTAGTGCAGCAATAAGCGTATCTGTCATCATATTTACAACACTAATAAAGTAGCAACAAAGTGCTTGATATAAATATGTAATTTCGTAAAATGGTGAGATATTTGTATCGTATGGGTACCAAACTAAGAATGGTAGTCGATACTGTTTAAAACTTTGGTCCAAAAAAGGAAACACGGATAAAATAAGCACTGTAAAACCTCCAACACCACAAAAAAAGTGAAACATAGTTTGCCAACCATCTAAACTTATTTGGGCTAATTCTCGTTGTCTACGGTTTTTTGGTTGAAATGTATCACTTTTTAGAGAATCCATAAGATCTTTAAGTGTTTTTATGTTTTTCACAATGAACAGTGATTTAAAAATACCAATAAACTGTGTGAGTGATACAAAAATTGATGCAGTGAGCACTTCCAAATTGTTGTAAATGTAAAACAGGTTAATGGTTTGCAGTAAGTTGTGACCAACAGTAAAACATATTCCAGAAGAAAGTGCATACAAGGTGTAATAATTACATTTGTAAGTTTGGTTGTCTTTAGGCCATAATCCTACAATGTGGAGAAGCCAGATGTTAGTTTTAATTGTTGATAACCAGTCAAATTTTTCCATTATTTTAACTAAAAAAAGCAAGTTATTTTGAAATAAATTTGCATTGTGTTATGAAATTAAAGTATATTTTTGAGAATATGTATCAAATTCAAGCACAAAAATTATACCCAATTGTTGGTGGAAAAATGCAGATTAGCACAAAATTGCATAACATAGTGTAGTGTAGTAAAAAATACCTCTTAGATTTGGAAATTAAATTTCTCCAAGTTTATCAATCCAAAAATATAAAAATGTAACTATGTATTTGTTTTTATACTCAAGTACCATTTTTGATCACACTATTTTTTATGCTATTTTTTATTTAAAAGTTGTGTAACTACAGGTTTGGACAACGCAACAGAAATGTCTGAAATGAGACGTATCTATCAACAAGTGTGTTTTATAAGATTATCAGAAAATGGGTGTGGTCAAAAATGCTGGAGAGGTCAAATGCACTACCTTTGCGCTGCGCACAAAAACTTTTTTCATTATATTTATCCAAACGAAAAGACGATATTCACTTACACAAACACAAAAAAATTTGTATGTATTTAAAACAACTTTACAGTGGATTCAACAAAGTTTGAAAAAAAATGTTAAATTATTAATTATTTGAAAGAGAAATTTTAGTAGACATTTGAACAAGAAAATAGCACATTGAATAAATTTGATAATCTACTTATTTTAGGTAGACAAGTAGTTAAAAACAACTCACTTTTTAACTTAAATATTTAAAACAAAATAATAATTTTACCATTATGCACAGCTATACATAAAGACAAAGTAGAAATCGTAGAAAAATAACATATTTAATCTGATTAAATGATTAGTTGTGGGTTGCAGTAGATAGGTACAGAGAATCAAAACCAACAATGGAATGCAACAGTTTGTTGTGTTTAATATTTTCTGAATTTCCACAATAGAAAAATAAAAAAGGATTGTTATCAAAATGATAAAATCATAACTTAAACTTACTCATTCAACCATAAATTGAAAATAAGAATTCTGCTTTTAAGATGTGGTAAAAATTAACTATGAAAATAAAACGCTGACATTTGTTAATCAGGGTTAAAGCTTTAATCGAACTTACTTGTCTTCTTTTGATTACATAAATGGGAGAAAAATAAAACAAGAAGAAACTTTGCTATAAATTGTATTTTTGATTAAACTTTTCTACAGTACCGAGTAAAAACTCGTATGCGGTATAAATGGCACCTCACGAATAATCGTGCGTTTTTCTTCCTTTGTGTATATGTATAATATACTATTTACCATGGTGTAATTTTGAAAATGGCTAACCTTATGCTAATTTTTGAAATTTATTAATGAACTACAGCCATTTTTTTGGGTTTTTTAACTCAAGCTGTGCAAAAAATAGTCTACAGTATGTCTCCGGATTGAGTTTACAAAAGGAAAAAAAAATCCTTTATTTTACTCCAAAACTGCAAAAGAAAAACCGTGGGAAAAACATTTTTTGCTTTATCTGAAACGAGCAAATCTGTAATTAAAACTTTATTATTTTAATTCAGTAGGAAGAAAAGTTAATTTTTCTCTTAATTTTGGACTTATAATAATTTTTTTCTGCTGTTTAAGTCTTATCATATTGACGGTTTTATTTTTTTGACAACGATGTCACTTTGACAATTAATTAATTAATTGAATAATGATGGTTGTTGTTAAAAATTACTTTTGTATTTTTTATCTTAAAACTGTTTTTTTTAAGTTGCCGTTTAAATATATTAAAAGAATGTGTAAATCTGATTTAAAATCGTTGAAATGGAGCAGTGTACTCCTGCAGAAGTAAGAGAAACTGCTACAGAAGCAATTGAATACTAATTTAGCAAAATGTTATGCGTAACTTGACACTCTGAAAGAAAAAATTCCCGGTATTTTGTAATCTTAACGTTGGCAAACCTGCAGATTACCGCTCAAGAGATAAAATGATGCTTATGAGATTTAATGATGTGTTTCCCAACCTTTAAAAAGTTAGTAATCGACATATTACATTAGTGATTGTGAATAAAAATTATTACAAGTCCAAAATCTAGAGAAAAATGAACTTTTCGTTCCACTGAGTAAGTTTTAATTATAGATTTGCTCGTTTCAGGAAAAGCAAAAAATGTTTTTCTTTTGCAGTTTGCGTAAAATCAAAGAAAAAAAATGTTTTCATCTATCTGAGGATATACTGTATATACCACTCCAGAGAAATGCTATTTTTTTTGGTGGTTTATATCACTCGGGCTTAGTCATTTCTCTCCCTTTATGTATAATATGGGTATTATGTATTTATGCAAAATACGATTTGATTGACGACGTGTTTTATAGAAGTGCGTGTATTAAAGGTAATCTTAAATGCTCCGTATAAACAGTATTATATATTAGTGATAGAAAAATTACTATTAAATTTTTCTAGTTCTGACTTTAGATTACGTATTTCAAAATAATACTTGAAAGCAATTAGTATTACTTTTTAAAAGCCAAACTTTGACCCACAACACAGATTGTTTCAAGAGTTTAAAAAACACGTACAAAATACGTCGAAAAACATAACCGCTGTAGGCTTGGGTAGGGATGGAATATTATGAAATATTTATGAATAAAATACTAATATTTTGTCATAAAGTTTATTTATGTTGCTTTTCTACAGTGCAGGTGCTGTTTTGCCAATCATATTAAATCTGTAATGAAATCTACATTCTATGGGTAATATTTAAAATTGTTTCGATTTATTAAATTTGTTTACTAATATTTATGTGCAATTAATTAATTATTCTGTGGCATTCACTTGACGAAGTACAGCAAAATACGACCAAGAAGTTCGAAGAATCTAAAATACTTAAAACGTATTTAAAGTATTAAAATATATTTTATCATACAAACCGTCTTAAACGTTTCCAAAGTCAAGTAAAAAAGATTCAGTGATGACATTTTAATGGGTTTCTCACATCTGATAGCAAAAATTAATATGCTTCTTTTGACTTCTTTTGGAGCATCAACCCAGTTGGCCTCAAATGTGGCGTAGAGTATTTTACTGCTCTTTATTTTTTAATAAAAAAAATTATGTAGATTAAATTATAGAAAAGTAGTCACAAATAATAATTTTTTTGTGTGTAATACAAGGAAAAAAACAGATTTATGTAGGTATATTTGCTGACACTTTTTCTTTAAAAAAATTACAAAAAATAATTGGTAGTGCTTTAAGTGTAGAAAATTTTAATAAAAAAATGTATTTTCAATTTTTGATTATGTTTACCTTAAGTTCGACCTCATTTCCAAACCAGCAGTACATAAAAATTTCCACTGTAATGGCGCCGAGATAAAAAATAAACATAATGAATTCACTGCTCGATGGAACGACCTGTATTGAAACAAATTTATTAAAACATGATTATTTTATAAAACAAGTAGGTATACCACTGTCAGCTGGAACATGGTTAGTCCTATAGATATTACACTTGCACAAAACTGTGTAAGCACAATCCAATTGAAGAATTTTTGGCAATGCTCGGCAAACCTAAAAAGTTTGTTAAAAAAAATCAATTGTTTAAAAAAAAAATACTTTAAAATTTCCTTATGATGTGTGAAACACTTTCTCCATTTTGCATCCATTTCTTCTACCGGCCCATCGATGTCTCTAATATTGTCGCAAAGAATATCACATTGCGTCCCAATATACATATTTAAAGCAGCAATCAGAGTATCTGCACTCATGTCAACAACGCCAACAGTATAAGTACTTATAACTTGATGAAGATACATAATTTCGTAGAATGGTGAAGAATTAGTGTCGTATGGATACCACGCTACAAAGGGCAGTCGAAATTCTTTATAAGTGCCGTCCAGTCGGGGAAAGAGGGCTAATAAAAACATCGCAAAAAATCCACTGAACCAAAACATTCGAAATAACATTGTCCACTCGTTTAAACTAGGCTGAACCATCTTGATTTGTTTTAAATTTTTTGGTTGAAACATTTCATTTGTTTGTAAGTTCTTGAGAGTACTTTTAAGGGTTCCCATATTTAGCAAAATGTAAAATGCTTTCACTATAGACATAGACTGGGTGAGTGACACAAAAATTGAGGCAGTAAATGTTTTCAAATCCTTGATAAAAAATAAATTAAAGACTTGAGCGAAGCAATGATAAACAGTAAATGTTAAAGTAAGGGCAATCGCATAAATGGTATACAAATTAAATTTGTGGGTTCCTTCGCCTTTGGGCCACATTCCCCCAATGTGGAGAAGTAAAAGGTTGGTTTTGATTGTTGATATCCAGTCAAAATCTTCCATTTGGAGCTAAGAAACAATTACTGAAAAAAATTAAAATCAAAAATACTTTTGAACAAATATTTCCAATACTTTTATTACATGTGATAGCCACTTTTTAGATTTGTTTTTAGTTAGAATTTTTTCGAGATATTTATAAAGTTGTTGAGAGATATGGTCTTCAGAAGCCTTGTAATAACAATGGGAATGAAATAGCGCAGCTTCGATTAATTTGCCGTGCTCAGGAAGGACGGGGCAATTATTGTACCTACCCGCTTTGCGCACAAGATTCAATTATTTTCACGATACTTCGGTCGACTCCGATGATGAATATCTTGGACATCTTATTATCTTTTAGCTTTAAAGTGTGCTAGAAACTAGAATCCATATGTTGACATACCTACTTTATAATGAGAAACTGTAGTAAAAAGTATTTTTTTAACTAAAATTATAAAACAACGAAGTTTTGTTGTTCTGGTTTGCAAATTGTTTCCTGAAAAGTATTCTAACAAAATGTGTATTTATTTGTAATTGCAAATAATTTAACGATTATAATAGCATAAGTGTTCTATTTGTAATTTTAAATGTAACAATAGAACTACGTTTAAAAGTATCTAATTTACAAAAATTTGAGCAACTGATTAATTAAACACCGAAGCAATGTAATTTGATTCAAAATTTGCAAATAAAAGACCTGTTACGGTTTACAAGTTGTTAAGTTGCGGTCTTACTTAAAATTCATTAAAAATAACAAGCTGAAGTCAATTTTGGCGCAAATAGATTAGGCTAGTTAATACTAATAATTTGAATTTTGTATTAAGTAAAATTTTTTTGTATAAAATAAGATATAACAAAAGATTGTCACATCTGCAACACAATAATAGTATGTCAATGCGGAAATAACATTTTATAAAAAAAGGTGATATTACGTTTTATAAAAAGCTCTAATAATTAGTAGTCTCCGGTTATTTTTCCGAGATTTATTTTTATTCTCTTCATTTATTTTTACTTTTGTCACATGATCAATGTAGTGAAATCCATGTGCGTCCAGAAGTAAAATTTACTTTTAGTTTCTACTTAAAAATATTTTCTATTTCTAACTTGGGCATAACTACGCAAGTAATCATCTTATTAATCGCTGTACGGTACATTTTTTTAACACGCTCAATTGTGTGCTTTTTTAAATTGAATGTAAAGAAAGGATATGCTCAAAGTTGCAAAAATGTCACTTTATATATTTTTTTTCTAAAAGCGATTATGTGAGATACAAAAGAAAATATAAAATTAAAATTACACATTTTCAGGAAACATTTATATTTAACCCTACAATTATAAGGATTATTTTACGAAAGCTGCTTATTATCTTGTTTGACCCTAATATTTAATTATTAATACAAGAAATACTCTTGAGAGTACTTGGAAAAAATCTAAAAATTTTATAATTTATATCACTAAGCAATAATTATTTCCTAGCTTCCCTTTTTTGTATGATGTAGTTATCATAATTGTATAATTATGCTGTTTAAATTATATTTGCTTTCTTTAGAGGTAATTATTTTCACAGTATGTTTTTAATTTTTAATATTATAATTTGAACGGATTTTAGTAAAAATTTCCACATAGGCTTCAGTATAAATAAAGCAGTTAAGTGGAACTTATCTTAAACAAAACTGTATTATAATTACAGGTTTAAGATATAAAGAAAGATATATTAATAATATAAATTAATATATTAAAAATATTTTCTTTTAATCTTAAACAAATGTGTTTTACCACTGTAATAATAACTTTGGCCATAGTGTACTATGTAAGTAATAGGAGGCGGAATTAAAAACAAATTATTTTTCTGAAATTTTAATTTCAATTCAATTAATTATAATTTAATAAATAAACTTTAACAACCAAACATTTATTAAAAACTAAACCACTTCTGTCTTCTTTTCTAGACCACCACCACAGGAGCTGCATACTCGTATGCAGTATATACAGCTGGTTCATAATATTCATCAGCATAAACAACATGTCCATCTAAATCTTCGGCATACGCAATCACCGGTGCTGCAACTGCGGCTGGAACTGTGTATGCAGTAGCATAAAACGTTGGCTTGGCTTTTGGATTCGGAATTGGCTTAGGAGCTGGTGCAGCAAATGCAACAGCCAAAAGCGCAAAAAGCACAACCTGAAAGAAGTTTAATTATCTTAAAGTTTAGTAATTACGAAAAACTTACAAATTTAAACATTGTTGGAGCGTTTCGAGCAACTGTCAAAAGGTGAATCTTCAAGTTTTAACTAACAACTCATCCAAATTGTTTGAACTTTTATATGTTTAAAAGCATGGCTTTATTAGCTTAATTTGATTATTAATGGATAAAAAGCAACGATTAGTATTCTAGAGACGCTAGTAAATAGACCTTTAATAAGGCTTGTCCTTTTTTAAGCTGACATTGACCTAGTGATTTAAAATGATGGTAAATACCCATCATTGTTATTCACTATGCGTAGAAGAAGTTCTAATAGTTTCCGTTTTTTTACAAGATATAACTTAGACTTCTCGTGAAAAAAAATTGAAATATTGTGTATACAAAACTGTCTTAAATAAATATAGTTCTTTACCATATAAAATTTATTCTCTGTTCAGTGAATATTGTTATTTATAGTAATATTACACTGAATACGAATAATCAGAGGGATTGTCCTGTAAAACTTCGATGTTTGAGGTTGTTGTTCGCAAATAGAGGTCTAGATTTTGTGCGTAATTGAAATCAGAACAATTTTGCGTAAACAATTATAATTTGTATGTATTGTATGTTACTTATTACGGGTTAGAATACAGAGTAATAACAGAAAATTTTGTGTTCAGTTTTAGCACAATAATTATATTGAACTAACCTGACCTCAGACACAAAAAATTCCGTCGCTTTCTTGAACGGAATGATGTAGGAAAAAAAACCAAAAACATGGGGAAGCAAGCAAATGACTTCCACCGTAAAGAGTTTTCATTATTTTATTAAGTATATTTTATCAAAATTGTAATACATGTAATGACACTTTTCACTAATTTGAATTGAAATTGAAGTGGGACACGAGGTGTAACATGGTGTGATGCCTTGCATGTCTAAATAAGAAATTGTAAAATTGCAAAAGAATTATTTTCAATAAATTATTTCTCTTTTAACTTAAACTATATCTTATGCTAAGTTTATTAAATATTAAAAGAAGTGTTTGGTCTGAAATTTTGTGTGTTAATATTAGATATGTATTATTTTCGACAATTTAATAATCCTATTTTAATTTATTGCAATCCGCACATTGAATGAGAATCATTTAGATACAACCCCACCCACCAGTTTGCAACCATCATCGTACCTATAAAAGAGCAATCAGACAGCACCACTGTTATCAGTTATCAACTGTAAGCAACAGCACTTCAATCAAAATGTTCAAAACTGTAAGTGATTTATTTAAATTATTTTTTGTGACTGAGTTTTAATCTCTTTCATAGATTGTTTTCATCACCCTCCTCAGTATCGCTTTCGGAGCTCCCGAGCCCAAAGCTGATCCCAAAGCTGACCCGAAAGCTAAACCAGGTCTTGCTTATGCAGCACCTGTAGTCGCCGCTCCTGCAGTCGCCTACACATCGGCTTACACCGCCCCTCTTGCCTATTCAGCAGGATACGTTTCACCATACGCTGCCGCTTACACTGCCTATTCTCCATACGCTGCGTACCCCGCGTACTCTGCCCCCTTGGTTGTTGTATAAATTGTAAATGTTGAAAATTAGCCCAAATAAAACTTATAAACAAAACTTGTCTTGTAATTTTTAAATTTAAAAAAGGCAGATATCTATGTTTGTATATTTGTACCTATTTTCAGAATTTTTTTCAACTACTCACAAAATTTTCTTAAGTAACATAAATGCTGATCAAATTAAAACAGGTAACAAAGTATATTCATATGGCTTCAAATAAAAAATACAAAATTAAATTGGGGCATATTTAAAATTTTTATTTCATAAATATTAAAGTATAAAACATATCACACTGACGTAGATGCATAGATTTAAGAAATATAAAAAAATAATTACCTAGTACAGTTACTTTGATACTTGGTCTTTAAATTGCTTAAAGGATTTGTGTTAAATTAAAATCGAAACATCTGCAATATGCATCAAAATGTTAAATATTTAAAAGATTATAAAAGTTAAAACGTTAAAATAAAAAGTCTGTTTTCTTAAACAATATTTTATCGAAACTAAGCAAGTAATCAAGGATACAACTCGGTATACAAAAAATGAAAAAGTGATCTAGATATAGCAGGCTAAGCCTAAGACCGTAGGTCTACACTTGTATGTAGATTAATACTAGCTAATGCAAAATTATATAAGACAGCATTAATTATTATTATTTATCGCTTTCCGACATCTGACAACGCTGTTCCTAAGTAGCTAAATATATCAAAGTTTTTTGTTAGAAATAAATTATTTCAATCGATCTGATATCGTGAGGGGCAAAGTGTGCCAATTTAGGGTAGTTTTTGTGAAAATTATCAAGTGAGATCTTAAAAGGATAAAGAATCAAACTATAGGATTCGCAGATAATTCTAATTTTCAGTATAACAGTCTTGGCGAGAAAATTACAAAATTGTAGGCAGTTTCTGGAAATTCTTATCCACAAAAGTAGGATCGGTTTAAACTAAGCTTCATTTGAAATCTATTTCCGTAAAAATTTTGTAGAAGTCTTATTACACGTTTTTTTCACAATTTTCTCCTTTCAATAGCGTAACCATGCCGGTGATTGTTATGATCATAAAACTTTGTCGAGTGTCGGGAAGAGAGCAACTAAAAATTTGTAAATTTGTTAAATAAATTAAATTTATTTTGTACTCAATGTTAAAGAGTGCTTTTATCAACTAATTTTAGTAGATATCGTCTAGTGAAATAAAGTAATTTTTATCTACTGTTTATATTCAAAAAGTTCTGGTAGGTGAGTACAAAATAAAACGAAATATTATACACGTCCATAAAAATTGTTTATCTACTCGTGAAAAAAGTCCACTCGTGACTTCGTCATTCGTAAACTTAACCTTTTCACTCGTAGATAAACAATTTCTTCATCGTCTTGTATAATAAATAACTAAAATAATAAAATAATAATATGATGGTAACTAATTCTGAAACACCAAAGTACGAGGGAAAACTGTAAGTACTCATAAATAGGTAATCGGTAAATAAAAACAAAAAACTGTGGTTTTATTTCCATCACAGTTTCTTTATTTTGATTGCAACAAAGTAAGTTTTCTAGTATTTTTTTAAGCAAATACGACCCCTTTTAACCTAAAGACAGGAACTATAGGTAGTATATTAATACACTGTAGTAGGTAGTACCTAATTGCCTTCGTTGCCAGACATCATGTAAAAACACAGAGAAACAAAAAATGTTTGTAATGAAGAAAAGTTTACTGTTATAAAATAAAGAAAGATTTTAACAAATTAGTAAATGAAAGAAAGATGCTTTTTATTCAGAAACAAAAGGGCATTAATATATTGTTTAACTTTACGAACAACGTGTAATAAATTCGAATCGAATTTATCAGCATTAAAATATATTTAATTGATTTAACCAATATGGGACACCTGTATATACAAATTCAATTTTTTGTTTTTTTTTTATTTTTTTGGGTAACTCAAATAAGTAAAATAATATTAGGGTATATCTACAAATCTTCAATTATATCTACAGAGAATAATATTGCGTATCTAATTCTTTTACTTTAAAATTTTGTTAACAACGTCACATACACGAAACTTCTAATATAATTTAATACAATGATGCTCGAGTTGATGCCTATGTGTGATTTCACGGCATATTCTATGCATGAACTGCACAAAAGTGAACTAACTTAAATTTAGTATGTGCATACTAAATTGTGGTGCTACTGTTGCGGTATTTTATCGAAGTTTGGACAAAATTGTTTATTAAATCTGGTATTATAACAGTTTATTTATAGATACACGTTTAAACTCAAACATAAATTGTACAGACAAAAATAGTACTAATAGGAACATTTCACTATAATTTCGTTGGTCCTCCATGTCGTCAATTTTCGTAATTTAACTTGCATTATTAGAACTTAGCACGTATTTGACACGGCTGTCGAATAATAAATTAGTATCGATTGTAAATTATTTCGACACTACACATACTCCAGTTATGTAGTGTCCTTAACTCTTTTAAATTGTATAAAAGAACAGTCATGCGACAGCTCTTTAGTCAGTAATCATCGATTAACTGAGACATCAATAACTCTTCAAAATGTACAAAGCGGTAATTTAATTTGTGATTATTTTATTCCAAAATTAAATAATTATTTTCAGTGTGTTTTGTTCGCCATTTTATCTGTAGCTTTGGCTGCTCCTGCTGCTGAACCGAAAGCTAAAGCCAAGCCTGGATTGGTAGCTGCTGCTTACACCGCTCCTGTTGTTGCTGCTCCTGTTGCTGCCGCTCCTGTTGCCTACGCGGCAGCTTACACTGCTCCTGTTGGTTATGTTGCCCCAGCAGTGTACAACGCAGGTTATACCGCTTATTCGCCTTACACTGGAGCGCTCGTTGTTGTGTAAATATGTAAAAATGTGTTAGTAGTTTAGTCAATAAAAAATTGAATGGTCAAGAAGCATTTGAATTTCCAACTACCTACTGTTGCTCACATAAAATTAAAATAAAACAGACTTTTGACAGTATCGACTTTTACTGTACTTGTATTTTAAACAATCTCTTTCCGGTCTGAGCATTATAGAAGCTGGGTTCCAAATAACATTTTTATTATTACAAAAATATGTTTAGTTAGAACTTAGAAGCAGTTCATTTCCGCTGCATCTATATTTTTACATCATGTTTAGGTATAACCGTTGAATTTCTTATATTTATTATTTTTTACAAACTTATTTTTTTGTATTTTTACCAATAACCTTTTTATTCCTTGTTTCTTAATAAATCATTATTGCACCTTTTGTCTTTCCTGGCAAAAAAATGAAAACTATTAACCCGTAGTTGAAAACTGTTCTCTCTTTGCTATATTTTGGTGAGATGCTTTTTATTTTTCAGAAAAAAAATGTGGAAAGCAGTAATTTTTTTTGTTTTTATCCATGATTATAATTATGATAACGCGTTATTTCGGAGTATTAAAAAAAGTGAGAATTATATTAGACTTTTATTTAGCAATATTTCAAAATTTAAATTTTGGAAATTTTTTGCTTATACTGGCTGTCAATCTAGATGTAAAATGTAATTTTTTAACAAATTTTAAATTGTAAGTCCCTTGTTTCTGAAACGATAATTGATAACGGACATACTTCCGGACTTGTCTGCATTGTAATTTGTACTCGTAATATCTTTCGGTGACTACTAATTCAATGAGGCGAAATTTAAAAAAAAAGTTAGACAACTAAATACTTAGGGTTGCCTCACGATATCTTTATTAACTACCACTTGATTGGGATATTGCAAAACAATGACCAAATTTTTGTTTTATGTGAGAAAGCATGACCAATGCTCAGTAAAAACACTCTTGCTTATGTCTAGTAGATTTTTATCGTGCCGTACACACTTAAAATCAAGCAGCTACAAAAAATTTAGCAAATTCTCCCTTAATACTGTATCTACGATTGTAATGCTGACTGTTTTTAGAAAAAAAATATACAGGGTGTTTACAGTCTTGTAGTTGAAAATTGACCTAGTAATAGAAGAGTACGTAACCAAGAAAAAACTCACATAATTGTTATTATCAAGAATGTTATTTAACTCCAAAATATTGGTACACGGTTTGAGGGTCACTGGAATTATTTCCTTGTTCAGATAAAATTGTATTGTTGCAACAGATAAAAAATCGTATCCATGACAATGAAAGAGAAAAGTTACTTTATAGTTTTGACACTGTCATCATTTGATTTGCTTTTGCTTTAGTTTTTATCAAATTCGAAGATCTTCTGTTTAATCTCTTTCAGCGAATGATTTCCAATAGGTTTGATACGTTTTTCTTAATTTTTCTCCAAATTTAAAACATGTATGGCAAAATATTAAAATAATAAATTTGTTGTCGTGATTATGTATTGTATTGGCTGATTTGGTTTAGTTTTTGAAATAATTTGATTTCTTAGATAAAAAGACTCTCTTTTTAAAAACTATCTCAAAAACTATTTCAAAATTTAAATCTTACACAATTGCTAACTAAGAAGACATTCAACTTTAAACTTGAACATTTAAAAAAAAAACTATTCTTTCAGCACCTGAAAAGTTGTTTGAGGTTCGAAATACACGTAACTTATTTTAATCATTGGTAAATGCAATAAATAAAAAAGCAATGAAATAAAAAGCAACTTATTGTAGTAAAGAATTCTTGTTATGACTAAAGACTCACCGGCCTTTTTGTAAATTTGTGCACACTAAGTACACCTTTTTTAGGTTGCTATATTCACAAAAGCACTTCAAATTAAATTTAAATTGCGTAGGGATGTTGTGTAAATTATAAAAAAGCACAGAAGCTACTTATATTAAAGACCCAGTTTATTGTACTATTGCAAATTCGTTAAAACACAACCAATTTTTGAAATTTTCAGTGAGACAAATACTTCTTTTTTTAATAGTAGGCAACAGGAACTCCATGTCCATATCCATAGGCAGAATATCCAACGGGGTGGACTCCGTAGCTAGAGACAACAGGGGCGGCAGCATAGGTGGAAACAGCAGGCACAGAGTAGGCAACGGCGGGGGCAGCTACCACTCCAGCGGAGTAAGCGCCAACAACGGTGGGTTGTGGGGCTGGGGCAGCTACTGCCAAAGCCAAGAAAGCAGCGAATACGATCTAATTTATAAAAAAAAATATTTTAGTTTTACAATACTACAAAATAAATAAAAGTGGTACTTACAGCTTTGAACATTTTTGTAGAAGTATTTGATTGCTTCGGAATCAAATGATGCAGAAAATAGGATTCGTCCAGCTTTTATAGTGGTAAAATTTTTCTACCTTTTGCAGAGTGGGGATGAAATTTGAATTAGAGTTTATGTGAATATAACCAAAAGGCAAATGGTGATGGCCGGCAACTTGACCATGAACCTATCTTCTGATACGTTAGTCTACCCACTGATTTATTTACATTTTAATCTGGATTTTATTTATAACCCTACAACAAGTGGACCGGTGGTCGTTACATAATAATTTTAGAACAGGCCTGTTTTATCTATAATAGTAACTAGTAAAATTCCGATTTGAATGCCTTTTGTTCTTCAAATATAAAAAAATGTTTCAGTTGTTAACACAGTAACATAGTAAATTTCTATGATTCATAGTAAGATTCATAAAAACATTTTTTTGTGTATTTACTCGTGAATATTTAATTTATTTTTTGCCAAGAGAGATAATTGTATTGACCAGAAGGTATTCAAGATAATTTTACCTTTTCATCCGCTATAGTCCAATGACGAGTTCATGGTCGATTTTTGACTTCTTTGAATTTTGACAAATAAATTAAAACCTAGTAAAATGGATTTCTAACAAAAGAAGTAACATCAATAATATTTAAGGTTATTGCAAAACAATGAATGTACCAAGTATACAGCTCTTATCAATCAAAGATTGGCTGAAATTATGTACTTTATTAATGTACAATGCCGAGCATAAAATTTTGGTAGGTAATGTCATTTAGAAATTTCATCTTTTTGTCAAAAAAAGTAGTTTCCCTGTGTAATTTTGACAAGAGGGTATATTACTACTACTAAAATTTAATGCTCGCTATTGTACCTACTTTAATTTTATATTAAATAGAAAAGTCTTTGAGAATTTCGATAACTTTTGCCTCTATTTCAGAAATTTTGGATTTTTTCACCTAATAATAAAACAGAGTTTCATGATATTTATTTATTATTTATTGTTATAAAAAATAAAATAATTATAATAAATAAAAAATTACTTCGGGGATGCTTTTACAATCCGTATAAAAACCTCGGATAAATTATTTGTGATATAATTACAGTAGGTACCATTGTTATAACAATGTATGTGTAACAATTTACCTCTAGAATAAATATATCCGACAATTGTAAATTTATTCGACAATTGTAAAAGCTATAAAATTTTATAGATTATTACCAAAGCAATTTGCCAAAGCCACTTTTAGAAACGGTAGTTTTTAGTGTTTACTCCAAAAAAAAAATTAAACTATTGGTCAGACGTAAAAGATTTTTAAGTTAGGTACTCGCAATGCCGAGTGGTCCGTACAAATATAAAAACTAGAGTAAATACAGCGACATCAAAAAGTCCTACCAAGCAATCGTAGAAATTTAGGATATACAGGGTGTTTCACACAACTTTACGAGGCTTGCCTAATATACGCACCCAAATATACAAAAGTCACAAAACACTAAATACAAAAAATACACATTTAATTATATATTTTTTGAAAACCCATGACAGTATTATTTGTTCTATCAAGAGAGGGCACGAATATGATTCTAGTTTATCTATCTTAATCAGTAATCACTAAATAACTAAAAACGTTGTAATTTTTAAAAGGTAAACGAACTAGAAAAGATTATCCAATTTTTCAAAATTTATAATCGAGTTCGTATCGGAATATGTATTATTGATTGCATCTTACAGGCGCATAGATAAACACCACCATCTCATTTCAGGATGTTGTAAAAGGTTTTATGGAATACCTAATTCAATTTCCTTAGATTTTTTGACAAGTATAATTTTTGTAAAATTATTTTTTACATCTAGTTATATGGTGCTATTCTGTAAAAAAAATACGTGCTACAGCGCTATAACTCTTTAAGCTATCGACTATAAGTAAAAATCGAATTCTCTAAGGAAATATTTCTCTTTACCTAAAATTCTATAAGCTTAAAGTCTCTATAAAGTTATGGCGAGAAATTTGCTGACCGTAAAGACTTATAGTCTCTATAACGATATATTGTCATAGTAACAATGTCACTCCTCAATAATTTATTATAAGTACTTTTCTCCGTATTTCGCCAGTGATGCTAATTTTTGTTCTCTTATAATTATTGGTATCGTGTAAAGTTAATAATAAGTACATAGTCCAGTGATGGATCGTAATAATATTGCACTAATTGCATTATATTTATTATTAAATGAAGAAAAAAGAAGGTAATGTTGTGGACAATAATGAGCTTCTTACTACAAAATCTTTAAAAAAAAGAGTGTCTATTTAGAAAAAAGTTATTTTGTAAAAGGTACAAGCAGGTTTTATGAAAATCGGTAATAAATTTTTGTGTAATTTATTAATATGAGCTCAAAGTTGATGCATTTTCTAAATTCTCCTTCGGCTTTAGTTTCAAAATTGTTACTTCTTCAACTCGTTCTTCAAAAACGTTGCAAACAACCCTACTAATTTAATTACGTTTTTTTTTCTTTGATGTTTATGTTGTATTCTCATTAATTTCTTACTAAAAATTAGAGAATGTTTAGCAAATTTACATTACAAATTGTGTCTAAATTTTAGCGGTAGTCTTTTTCTGACTTTTCGTCTTCAAATTTCCAAAAACTGTTCGCGATACTCAATTTGTTCCCGTTTTTGTGTTTTCATTTCTAAATTTTCTTAGACGATTTTTTTGCTGAATGCCATTTTTTATTAATTAAATTAAAAACTGGAACTGCCAACATCCAAAAATTACCATGAATAAATTTGTTAAGACTGTTTGACATTTCCACTTAATAAAAAACATACTTTAGGGTAATTACAGCGCTATAACTCGAATGTTTACATAGACGCTTAGAGAATACCAATTTTGATACGATTCTATAAGGACTTTAAAAAAATTATATACAGAGCTCTATTAGCTATGGAATATACCAGCTTATAGACTATAGCAGATTTTTAGAGAATAGCCTAAATAGTATACGGGTTGGTATGAGACATATGTCTTCAACTATAGTACTTGATATAAAGACGTTTTGTTCGCATTGTATCGAATATTTATCATTATTAGGTTTATAAAAAAATAATACGTGTAGCTATAAATACAGGGTGAATATAAAGTATGGAACCAAGCGGTTTTATTTTTAATCATTTGCCTCCAGAAAATAATAATTAATATAAATTAAAGTAATATAAAAAAGTGATCCTATTTTCAGAACGAAATTTTGCTTTGTTTTTGAGTTATGCGATTTTTTTTGTCAAAATTGCAATTTATGTGAAAAATTTTTTTTGAAAAAATTAAAAATAAAGCAGATAGTTGTAATCCTTAGAGTATAGCTTCTATGAGAAAAATGATTTTATAGTGGGTTGCCATTTAAAAAAAATATTTTTTTTGTAGAACTCAAAAACAAAAGGAAATTTCGAAAAATTTTATTCTTGTTAAATCATCACATTTTTATAGTACTTTATCACTCATCAATTAGTTTTTTCAAAAAATAAATAGTTTAAACAAAAAACGCTTGGTTCCATACTTTTTATTCACCTGGTATGTATAGCTTTTATTTATTTTATAGTTTTAAAAAGTAGGGTTTTGATATTTGTTAATAATTTATTTTGATTTGTAACGTTTTTAAACAATAATTTTAAACAATATTTTCCTTAAACTTACAATTTGCGTTCTCATATTTACATTTCTGTATTATGTACTTTATCTGGTAGTGTGAGGAGTAGTAAATATTTTGTACCCAATGTTGAAAAAATAGTACACTTAACACTTAATTAACACTCACTAAAATATGACGGCATTATTTAAATGTGCACAATGAAATAAAAATGCAGATATAATTATTATTTAATTTAATCGACAATTTAGAAGTATTGACATCTGAAAATATGTTCCCTATTATAACAGCGTGATCCATTTCCTCCCAAGTTAGTAATTTGCTTAGATGTAAAGATTTCTGTAGGCTAAAGGAAGTCCATAAGAGTAGCTTCCGTAGTAACCAGATGCATATGGAGATAATCCATATCCATAGTCATAAGTGATGGGGCGAGAGTAGCTGTAAGTCAAAGGCGTTCCAGCAGTGTAGCTCAAGGCATAGATGGGGTCGGGTTTTGGTCCCGGAGCTGGGGCTGGGGCTGGGTTTGGTACGGCGAAAACGGCCACCAAGAGAGCAAAGAAGCAGATCTACAAAAAACAAACAAATTAGAAAAAATCCATCTGGATTTAAAAAAATAAAACGAAATAAAAAATTCTTACCAATTTGAACATGTTGTCGATTTACTTGGCTGTAGCAAAGTCAATAATAATCTTGGTGTCACTCAGGTTTATATATCCCAAGATATCCCTTTGTTGGTGACGTAGGAGTGGTCGATCGCCGTCTTGACTTCACAAACAAAAATATAACTAGTTTTTCAAGAAGTTGCTGTGCTTCACGACTGTAATTATTATATTTTACGATAATGACTTTTTGATGTGAATATGTGATCAATGACTTTAAATTAGACAACTAGAATAGAATTTGTAAATAATTTAAACATTCCAAACTTTTAATTTTTAATATTTTAATAATTTTTAAGTAAAATAAAATAACACATTCAAGTCAAGTTCTACGACCCAGCAAGGTCCTTTCCATAAGGTTATTTAGCATAATGATTTGTACTTATCCTAAAAATTTTATTACCGCCTATTAACATTTCACACCTTACTTTAGATGATCATTTACATAATGTAACAAAGCTTAAAATCTATTTAGTTAATTACAGGTAAAAATTTAATTAATTTTAAATTAATCTACTTGTTTCTTGACATAACAAAAATTGTTAACATTTTAATTTTTTCGTTTTTGTGGTAAATTTTTGGTTAAATATTTCACCTCCAAGATGAGAGTTCACAGTTTTTTAAACTTGCTCGCCAAGGTGACAAAATACTTACAAAGAGCAACAAATTTGTAGATAGATTTCTTGTGATAAATTATTGGCTAGGACTTAAAAAATATAAATATCAGATACAAATAATTTTCTTGAATCTTAATATTTCCGTTATTTAGTTACATTACAATTATGTGATTCGGCATATTATCTCAAATAACAAAGTATACAAAAATAAATATAAAACATTATCATACTTTGGCCTAAAATAATACTAAAGGATAAAACAGATTTGGATGAATTTATTTAATATAAATCACCTAATACATCAACGCAGTAAATGTAATTAAATTATTTAACTGCAAAACAAACCTACGGTTTTATTGAAACTAATGGTTAAATTTGTTATTGCAAAACGTATTGCTATTTACAACAAAGTTTTTTGCATAATCTGGAATTGTTTTAGCATAATTTCATCTTCAAAAATTAATATTGTTTTTTCAGGTCATTTCTTTCTAATTAAATAACATGAAAAATACAAAAATAAACCCTAACAGACAAACAGATTTAAACCAAAAAATTACTGCTGAAGACATTTAATATCACTTAGGAATGGATAAATAAATATTAAAAAGAAAAACAATTATGTTTGTTAATGACCTGCTTAATACCAAGTATTAATAAAGACGATTTTCTTAAATATGACTGGTGTACACGAGTAAATCATAATTTGTCGAAAACCATATTGCATATTAAGTGGTTTATAATTTTTTAAATAATTTATTAAGCAGATGCTTTAGTTTTACAAAAAACTTTCAAAATATCATTATTATTATTATAT